ATGTCTGTGCTCTCCCATGTGTGGTGAACAGAAGAAGCAGGGCCCCTCCTTTCACAGAGTGGGAAATGACAGTCACAAGCAACCCCAACAGACCCCAAACTCAGTTAAATACTTAAGCAAATGGACAACATCATTTTGGATAGTGTTAAGTTCTGGGCATATGGGACAGAGTGATGAGTGAGGCAGGTTCCCTGACCTCTGCAGGGCTTGGAAGAGGTGCTTACTGAACTTCTGGTGAATGACTCAAACATCAGGCCAAGGCCCATGCTTGCCTATCCCATCTTTGGGAATAAGCAGCCAGGTCTCTGGAGTGGCCTCGAGCTCTCCTAGATGATTAAGATATACTGATGCCCTTTGCCATACCCTACACCAACTGTGTTTAGAAATAGAAATTGTTACTCCTACTATGAAGAGGATGATCAGTCGCCTGGTTGCCTTTCAGCATTTTGAATGCCTGAAGGGCTGTAGGACTCCTGAATGTCCCCACTGCCAAACGGGTAATAAGCCTGGTTCTTTCTGCCTGCATCTCCTGGAATCTGGAGGGTTCTCTAGTTTTCTCAGGGCATTGGCCTGCTCCTCACCTTTTTCCTGCTTGTCCTACCTATATCCCCTGGACTAGGCTCTGGTTCTCAGATGGGACGCCAGAATGATGGGGCTCCATCTCCCTTACCCGCACTTCCAAGCCCAGTTCCATCCCATTCCTTCTTTTCTACCCACCCCTTGGCCACCTGCCCCTGGTTGCCCACCAGGCTTAGATCTGCAGCAGCTGCTTTTGGACTTGGGCTGTCCCCAGGGGCACCTTGCCTTTCCTCCTTCCTGACCAACTCCCTTTGGTTCTGACGGGCTCACTTGTGCCCTTCTTCCCTCTGCTGCCCAGTTTGGGAGGCTGTTCTGCTGCTTCCACCGTGGGAGGGATAACTGGGAAGGACCTGAGGCGTAGCCCATTTTGGGATAAGGGTGAGGATTCAGAATACATATAAACAAAGACATCTCATACCGTAGTCCTTAGGCACGGTGACAAAATACAAGCAGGTCTGTCCACTGGTATAGTTCTGGGGGTAATTGGGGGACAAGACCACTCCATCTGTACCCACATACTGTCCCCCACAGGGGGCTGGAAGAGAAACCAGATAGAGAACCAGGTGACCTTGTGGGCCTCTCACCAAGCGTCCATCCTCCATTCTGCCTCTAGCTTGAGCTTCTGGCCCTGGTGTGGCTGCCCTGAAGTGGGTGGTCACTACCGTGTGGAAGGACAGTTCTGAGGACACAGCCCTCTCCTGCCCAAGGACACGCATCCCTGGCCTGGCACATAGCTCAAAACTCACCCTGAAGAGTGGACCCTCCTGGCCAGATGTTGGCTGTTTAACTATGAAACATTAACATTGACGTTGGTCCCTGAAGGCACAGATTGGGGAGCACAGTCGGAATTCTTTTGCTTACAAAAGACCTGCTGCCCCACGGCTGATGTCTGTATGTAGGCAGGTAGTGTTTGCATGAGTAGGGAGCTGAAGCATCCTGAGAGCGGCCAGCCCCTGTGACCCAGCCACCTTCAGTTCCCCTCCATGATGTATCATTTCCACGAGGAGTTGGCCTCAGAGCCTGCCTCTCCTACTGAGGCCAAGGCGGTCCCCAAGGCTCTTCAGCTTGGGTGGTCACCATGCTCTAAGGTTCTGGCTCTCTAGTCAGGACCCCTCTGTGGCTAGCCCAGACCTACTTGGCCTCAGGCTGCTCGGCTGGCCCTACTCAGACACATCTGCTTTCTCAGTGATTTCCCAGGAGCCTCCTTTAAACTTCCTTCTCCCTGGTCTGGGCTCCCTGGTGTGGCATGTGTGGGGGCCGCTGCTGAGGACATGAGCATCTATCAGAACGGGGTTGGGGATGCTATATGATCGGGAAAGATGACATTTTGACAGGAACTGCATACCTGGTGCATTATTAGCCATTCTCCTCTATAGCAAACCCTGGCTTGCCAGGCCCCACTTGGAAGAGCCACCCTGAGGACCACGGTCCCCTTCCCATAGAGGACAGCCCCTTCCACCTCCGGCTGCCCTCAGCGCCTCCAGACCCCATCCCTGGGCTCCCGGCACCTGTGCAGACCGGCCGGGGATTGTTCCACACGGGCTTCCCGTCGGGGCCCAGGACGCAGGTCAGGGTGGAGGAGCCCTCAACTTCGTAGCCCCCATGGCAGTAGTAGGTGATGGAGGAGCCCAGCTTCAGGTCGGACCCCACTCGTGTGCCGTTCTTGATGGAACCAGGATCAAAACATGACTCCCGCGGGTTTTCTGGGTAAAAGAAAAGCAAACACACTTACACACACACAGAGGGCCATTAGTAGCCTGTCTCCCTAGGGCAGTGTCCATGAGTAGAATCCCACTGCTGTTAGCTGCTGGGAGCACATCAGTCCTAGGCCCTCAGGTCTAGAAACTCCTCTGAACTTGGTTAGAAACCTAAGGCTGGAAAACATATTAGAGAGGGAGATTTCCCCTTCCCTGCCCACATTCTTGCCATGGTCCACAGAAGAAGGGGTTCAAACCACACCTCTGAAGCCCTGTCTCATGCCCCTCTGGCTCCGTCCCAGGGGAAGCATGTGTTGCTTTGACTGGTGGGAGCTAATGGTCCTTGACCCATCTCAGCCATAAGCAGGGTCACTACAGTAAAGGCCAGTGTGTAGGTATAGCTCAGCCACTAGTCCCCCATCATGGCAGGCCTCCTGGGACTTTTCTCCTGCTGGGAAGCAGGGTGGACAGGGTGGCTCTGGACACTGCTCTTTCTCTTCCTCTCCCTCCCGCCTCATCCATATGCTGGCTGGGGAGGTGGACCTGGTGCAGCCACTTGTGAGTGCATAGGTACCAATGCTTAGATCCAGAGAGGATGTAGAAAACCCCACTTCCACTTTTGGGTTGTGTTATCCAACCTCTGGGACAAGTTGAGGTCTTCAGTACCATTTCCTAGGGCTTTGCACTGGGTGTTGGGTGCTTGCTGGTTTATTAAAACCTCAGGATTTGCTCATTTGGCGATTGGTCCTTATGCATCTTCCCAGTCTGTCATACAGTGGATGATGTGCCTAACTGTCGTCTACTCTGTCCCTCTGCATCAGGCAAGACTGTACTTGACCTTGCCTGAGGACTGGGAATAGTAGCTCCACAGCATCCCTCACCACCAGCTGGAAATCTTGAGCAGCACCTGGGAGCCGTCACTCACGTCCATCCACTATTGCCTTTCTTCTGCCATCCTTCTAAGCTCATTGACAGTTTATGAAGCCTGTCCTTAGGGCTGGGCAGCGGCAGGGCATGGCCAAGTCCAGTCAGTACCAGGAAGACGCAGTTGAGAAACAGGTTTCCACTGGAGTCCTGGAGGCTATGCTCGGGAGTGGGGGAGGGGGCCCCAGAGAGGTCTAGAGACTGGGGCTCACAAGGAGGTGCTGACAGCACTTGCAGAAGGATCCAGACATTCAAAAAGCTGAGCTAAGGAGAAAAGAGCTGGAAGAGGAGGGATCAGGGTTCATTTGTCAGAGAAGAATGGCTCAGGAGGAAAATTTTGCTGAGGGTGGTACTTATCACCCATGTACCTTGAGGCTGCCACTCAGCTGCCAATCAGCCGGCTGACTGATGGGACGGGAGCCTGAGAGTCTATGATGCCGTCAAGTTGAGCTATTCCTGCATTTGAGGCTTCTGACCATCCTTCTGACCACGGAGCACTCCTGGACATACTACTGCATTTAAACTCAAGTGGGACCCAGACAATGGACCCCTCAGTCATTTCCTCATGTGCCCCGTGACGTGTTGCTTTGACTTCTTGGTCAAATCTGTCCTCTCTATAAGCCTAGTGGCTCTGGCCAGAATAAAACTGGCATTTGGGTGACCCATATGTGAATTGCAGAGTTACAGGGACCATATATACATACATATAAACACAGGCGACTCTTCTATTTTATTGAGGAAGAAACACACTGGCAGACAAGGCTACAAAGTTTTTGTATAAATATCCAGAATTTAATTATTATGTTTTAGATATGGATATATCCATTTGATTAGGAAACATTTTTTACCTATTAAAGTATGCCCACCCAGTATGTTTTATGGGCGAGCAGGGAAACGTTACCATGTCTTATGTTTCATCTGTCCTTTCTTATAAATTCAAAGTGAGTCAAATTTACTTGAAGTTCAGAAAAAGTAAGTTGGAACCAAGTTGCCACAGGTCATCAGAGGCTGGCAATATCCATTTCCCCTCTTCATCCCTCCACAGTGGAACCAAGATTTTATCCAGAGCGTCAAGGCATTAGCTAAATTCTGTATTTCCCAGCCTCGTAGGCAGTGAGGTCTGGCCAAGAGATGGAGACACGATTCAGATCATGTCTGCTGACAACAATCCGATAGCATCCTGTGTCACTCAGAGAAAAGGCCAAAATCCTTTCAGGCCTCCAAGGTCCTGTGCATGCAGTCCCCAGTGGCCCCCTCTGTGACCTCTGCTCCTGTCATCCCGTTGCGAACTTTGCCCCAGCCACACTCAACTCTTTCAGGACTGAGAGCAGGGTCTCTCTCTCAGTGATACTCTGAGAGCAGCTATTTAAAATTGCAATATTCTTCTCCCCAGTGCTCTCTGCTGCCACTCTCTGCTCTCTCTCCACTGTGATTAATACTCTCTCATCTATTATATATTTACCTTATATTTTTCTGTCTTCTTCCATTAGAATGTGGGTTCTGGAAGGACAGTTTTTCAGTTTTGTTCACTGCTGTATTCCAGTGCCTGGCACATGGTATGTACTTAATCAACATCTTTCATGGATTTTAATGTGGAACTTCCAGCAAGGCTGCTTAAGGGAAGTTGACTCAGCTGAGAGAATGCTCATTGGCACTTCCCTCTTTCCTTCCTTCCTCCTCCCTCAGTCTAGAACTCAGACCTGACGGCTGCAGCCTCAGTCACCATCTTGGATCTGAGATCACCTTGGGAATTACAGACTAGCACAGGAGAGCAGGATGGAAGACCCTCCCATCAACCCTAAGTCATGACCTCCAGATTTCTTTTATAAGAAGGATAGTGAACTTTTAACTTGTTTAAGCAGCTGAGTTTCTGAACCCCCATTGGGTATGACTGCCCCAGAACTTGACAGATTCCAGAATGTCCTTTCTTCCCTACTTTGTGCAGCCAACTCCTACATTCTTTTGAGAAGGTTTTCTGAACTTTGACTTTTTTCAGGCAGAATTCTGTACCCCCAGCCTCCTGGCTACAGCATGTATCACATTATGTTAGTAGGTTGGAAAAGGTATTTCTTGCCAATGGGTTCCAAATTCTTAAGGGACAAGGACCAACACCTGGTGTTCTCACAATCCTGGCAACTAGCACAGAACTTGGCACCGGGGCTGGCCATATTTGGCACATAATAGAGACTTAATATATGGCGACTGAATCGCCTGGCTGAACACACTGGGGCTTGGAAAATCAACCTCAATGATTCCATCTCCAGACTGTTCTATATTTACTCACATGTCAGAGGAAGATGAGCTCATCATTCCAAGCATTATCACATTAATAATAATGACAAGGATAATGATAATGATGATAGCCCCTTACATAGGAGTATCACTTCAGAATTTGCAAAGCATTTTCCAATCTGTCATCTCATTTGCATCTCCTGATACCCTCCGCAGGGCCAGGTTTGCTCGTGTTTGGCTTATAGATGAGGAATGTGGCAATGAAAGAGAACAATGAGTTTTCCAAGTCATTCAGCTATTTAGAGGTACAATTAAGACCAAAATCAGATCTTCAGTCTGCCAGACCAGAGCTCATTCATAATGACTAAAATACCATGATGATGGTAATAAATAAAACCCAAGTTCTCCAAAATGGGAACATTAAAAAATCCAGCTTCTCTCTTCTGATAGATGAGGCTTACTTCCAAACTTTGTTAATAGCAAAAAACCTGAAAACAACCCAAACATTCACTCAGTAAGGAAGCGGTTAAAAGGCTTGACTAGAGCATCTACTGAAATCCAAGCAGCTGATAAAAAGAGTAGCACGAATCTTTGAACACAGATATGGGAAGAAGCCCAAGATTTATTGTTGAGGAAAAACATAAAAACAAAAGAACAGATTACATGGATTAGTACACATGGTGTAATCTCTTTCATACAGAACAGGGGTCAGTAAACTACAGCCCACAGGTCACTGGCTGCTTGGTTTTGTAAATAAAGTTTTATTGGAACACAGCCATTTGTTTACACGTTGTCTGTGGCTGCTTTTGCTTTCCAATGGCAGAGCTGAATATGGCAACGGAGATCATCTGGGCTAAAAATATTTCCTCCCTGGCTAGAAAACATTTGCCAACCCCAGTATAGAATTTACATTGCTTTATATGTATAGGAAATACCTGAAATGAGATAACAAGTTATTAATAATGATGCTTCAGGGGTTTATGCTATGTTCTTAAGGGTCTACCTTATCTGCATTTATAGTGTGTGAATTTTTCCAACAAACATGTGTTACTTTAAAAATAGGCAAAAATGCAGATATTTTTATTTTGATTTTATAAAGGATGACCCACAGCGGCAGCAGGTGGTGGGAATGAGGGTGGTAGCAGGTGTGGAAATCTGGCCGTAGCTCCCAAGCCCACAGTGTTACTTGCAAGGGCTTGAACGTGAAAAATAGATATTTTTTAGTACCTTCCGATAAAAATTGATTCGTGTTGGCCTTTCCTGAGTTATTTCAGGTTCTTTAACACGTGCTTGGAACTCTTCCCTCTGAAACACCCTCTGTGCCCCCACCCCCACTCTTGTACAGGAGGGTTTCTATTTAATCCTTAGGGTGCTGTCTAAGTGGCTCGAGCTCAGATAAGTCTTTGTCAATCACCATTCTGAAGTGGGGCCCCTGTTTTTCTTCCTCAAAGTAGTCTGTTCTTTTTCCTTCTCAATTTCTTAAGCTTTTTATTTCTTGCTTATCTACCTAGTCATTGTTTCCCTCACTCACTTTAAGGTATGTGAGGGTAGGGACCATGACCATTTGCTCAGGGCTGTATTCTCAATATCCAGCACAGGGTGTGGCAGGAAGTCAGACTTCACTAAGCCTACGCTGAGTGAGTAAATGGTCTCCCACACGTGCATGCACGGTGCTACTATCCTGTCCCTGTCTAGTGGGGAGGCCACCACACAGAGGAGAATAAAGGTCTCTCCACACCACCCATTTTTTTTGCTGATATCTCTGGTCTGCAGAAAGACAATGAACATCCTTAGACTCACTTTTGGCAACTGTATCCAAAGATAGGATCCTCCCTCTTCCCTTAGCTTCC